TGTTTGTGGTATTTTTAGAACATTATATAAATTGTGAAATTTTTTAAAAATTGAATAAATTGTGGTAGTTTTGGAACTTTTGAGAATTGGTGGTAATTTTTAAAAGATTAATATGAAAAACTCTTCGTAAAAATGATTAACAAACTTTTCATACGACATAAAGCAAGTTCTCTACCATCTAGCCTTCTTTTGGTTTTTAAATGTTTATTGTTTAATGTTTTTCTTATCATTACTTGCATTTTTTTCGTATTTTGTTAAAGAAAAGCGATTTGTTTAATTATATGGGACAATTAAAAAACAATTTAAAAAAGTTAATTTGTTGATAAGAGGAAAAAGTAAATTTGTTCCTATGTATATAATGGAAGCTAAATACAATTTTCATGGGTATAAGTTAGATTGATTAGTGGGCTAAACAGAAGAAAAATGTGTGGACTAACTACAATAAAAAAAAAAAGCGAAAACGGTCTGTCATTAGTGGGCTAAATGAATGTTTGAAAAGATTTTTTCATATCATATTTAAAAATTGCCATGTGATCACAATTATTTTTGGAAGAGTGAACAAGGAGAAATAATATATAGGGTATCTTCTGAAAGAATGTGTTTTCAAAGATGAGAGGAAATGGCTAAAGGAACAATTTTAGAAGTTATGGTGGTGAGACCATATGGACGAGGATGTGTTTTTTAATTGGAACACGTATTTCTTTTGGTGTATTTATTTTTAAAATGCCACTAATTAAGAATTTATTAAACCTTAAATCTAACAACTTTAAACCTTAAAAAAAGTTTTGACCCATAATTAATAAAACTATAATAGAACATAGTAAACCCAAACATATATGATATATATATTGAGTAAATTATCTAATATTTTAGTTATCCCATTATTATAATACTTTAATTCGATGATAAAAAAAAATATAAACCGGTAGAGGGATGATTTTTATTAACTGGTAGTGTCACGTTGGTGGTGAAATGTGAAAGAAAAAAAATTGGAAAAGAAAAAAGAAAACATAACGAAAATAGGCGACCGAGAAACGACAAGATAGACGGCTAAGATCTAATGAACATTGTGCAAGTAATATCCAACGGCGAAGAAAGTCTGGAGATCTCTATAAAAAAGGCATCTCCGTACGTGTCTTCTTCATCAGGCGAAAACTTCACCATTTTCTTAGAGCTTGAGTGAGAAAAAATCAATGGTGGCTGAGAGAAGTGTTTTTCGATTTCATTTTCAGTCAGAGAGTGTAATAGCGACCGTCTGTACCACGAAGAAGCATGTCAAAGATTGATCGAAAACCATTCCGGCAAGAGACAAAATGAAAACCAAACACTTTAAAATGTAATAGGATATAATTTCTCTTTCATTAGAGAAAACATTATAATTTTCTACCTCAAATTTGATGAGAGGTGGTCAGGTATGATTTGTTTTCCTCTCTT